AAGTTCAGAGTGATGGCAGAAGGTAAGGAGGGGTGGCGCTATAGGACTTTGCACTTGACAGATGCAGAGGATAAGCCAGAGGAGGACCCAGGGACAAATGCCAGGTCCCCAGACTAGACAGCCTTGGAGCTGGGGTGCTGCGACGTGACTAAGGATATCACTGAGAGCTGGTTCCTTTCGGGGAAAGGGAACAATGGACTTTTGGAAATGTAGGTCTTGGGTTGAGTCTAGGCATGGAGATTTGAAAGTCACGGAATCAACACTTCACCATCAAATTGCTACCACTTATTGAGCTTTGACCTACTGTGTGCCAGGTACCATGTGAAATAAGAATTCTCACCACAGAAGGAAATCACAGAGTCAGCAGGATTAACTTCATTTAACAGACAAGAAAACAGATTCAGAGATGTTAAGAAACGTGTCCAAGGGCAGCCAGCAGGGAAGAGGTGGATCTGGGGCTGGGTGTTTCCCCATGGGCTTGCTCTTCACCTATCGCAGTGCAGTGAAGTTAAGATGGAAGAAGACGAGGTTCTCAGACAAGAGGTGAGAGGATATTAGCCCCAGAGACATCTATATAGAGTTGCCATGAAGGCTCTGCCCAAGACAGTTCCCTCTTCATTAGCTGTTAATTTTCAGCTACCGGGGCTGCTCTGAAGACTTCCCACATGGAAGTCAGGACGATGTCCAGCATAGGAAAATCATGAAGATGTGTCTGCAGAATGGAAGAGGGCAATGCATGTGACTCGTCGCTAGCACGGTTAGGGACCCTGTGGTCAGAATACAGGATCCAGGAGCTGTAGGGAGACAGGAAAACCAAGATAGACTGGGTCATGAAGGCTGAGGACAGAGTTTCAAAGGATAAAGTATCAAAGCTGCAGAAAAATTGGGGAGCGGGGGAGTTGAGGATGGGATTTATTGACTAAAGTTCACTTTGAGGTGATCCTTTGGAGAGTCAGAAGGTTGGTGGGAGCAAGAGGCAGCTGCAAGGAGTCGGGGCACACGGGGCTGGCCAGTGGTTCGGCATTCGCTCGCAGATTGAGGCGCAGGAGGCAGAGGAGTCTGCCTGTAGGTTTAGTGGAAAATAGAGAGTGGGCTAGTGCCCCAGAATGGGGGAGTCAAGCAGTCTGGGAGACTTAGGAGGGTCTGTAGGCTGGTGGCAAGGGCCCAATGCTGGGCTGGAGGCTGGAAATGCAAGTAGAAGGGACTAGTGGATGAAGAAAGCTTACAAAGAAGGCAAGAGATGGTGAGATCGTCAGCCTGAGAGAGGAACGTTACGGTGAGGTTAGGAAGCACGTCGAAGGGTTCCGTGTACTGGGGGATGGAATTTGGCCTTTCTGTCTGTACCCCACCTCTCCATGATCCTGGGGGATGTTGGAGGGCTAGTGGTCTTGCCCTCGAGCTGTCGACCCCAGCCACCAGTCCCGATTCTTAGTTCAGGAATGTCACTCTGTAAGTGGAGTGTACGGCGCATGACTGGCAACAGGACACAATTTCAGAGCCCAGGAATACTTTCTCACTTCCTAAGCTTCCCTAAGGACTAATGGAACCCACCACAGTGCCACCATTTTGCCCATCCCCTTTGTCCAGTCTTTGTCTGTTGTTTAAATGCAAAAAACTGCCCAGGAAGAACCACTGCTAACCCCTCTTGGTCATTCACACCTCAAAGAGAATGTTTTACTAGTCCTTTCCCCGGAGAGATTTTTGATAAGGGAGAAAAAGTGAGTGCTTAGCCACCCAGGAAGAGAAAAGACCACAGAGTGGGAAGAGAGCTGGGGGGAGAGGAGGAAAGGCCTTGAGGACAGACTGGCCAGTGCCTGAAGTTTTCCTGGGTCCAGATCTGCCCAAATGAAGTAGCACCCACTATCCCACCTCATCATCAGCCCCACCAAGCCCTGCCCTGATAGGAACAGCTCCCATTATTGGGAACAGAGGTGCCTTGAATTGAAGAACATGATAGCTGGAGGATCTCCCACTGTTGAAATATCCATCCATCACCCATCTGTCTTTTTACTAAATTCACATTTACTGAGCTTTGTCATGTGCCAGCCCTTGGGCTCGGTACTGGGAACACAGAGATGATCAAACCCCAACCCCAACTCTTATGCGGCTCCCAGAAACAGGAAACTACCCCAATTCGTGACGTGAATACCGAGAAAGAAAGCAGGTGAACAGGAGTAGCGGCAATGCTTTTCAACCTTTCTATTTAATCTTCAGTTCTATTATTTAAAATATACACAAAAGTAGAAAGACCAGTATAATAAACTTCCATTTAACCATCACCCAGCTCCAATTAATATTGTTTCATCTATCCCTTCTACTTTTTTTGATGAAATAGTTTAATACAAATTCAAGATACCATGCATTTCAGAAATAAATACTTCCATATGTGAATATATGGAAATAATTACCTACTACCATTGGCAACTGCCCCACCCTTGCCGTGGGTATCCCCAACCCCAGAATCCAATCCTACACCCCACACCCTTAGGAGTCTTGGCAGCAAGCTGGCCTTTGAGGCCATTGCACAGAGTTTTCAGGCTTGGGCCCTTCGGTGCTGGCCTAGCTGTGCCTTCCCAGGCCCCCTCCAAGGGTCAGCCAGGTCCCCCCGCCCTGGCCTCCGGCAGCGTTGTCTCATCCCTTCCCTGACGGCGCTCCCGCCCCTCTGTCCTCACTGCAGATTGAGATGCTAGAGCACAAGTACGGCGGCCACCTGGTGTCCCGGCGCGCCGCCTGCACCATCCAAACCGCCTTCCGCCAGTACCAGCTCAGCAAGAACTTCGAGAAGATCCGCAACTCGCTCCTGGAGAGCCGCCTGCCGCGGCGCATCTCCCTGCGCAAGGCGCGCGCGCCCACGGCGGAGAGCCTGGCGGCCGAGAGGGCGCTCCTGGAGGGCTGCGGCCTTGCGGGGCTGCCTCTGGTGCGCTCGCCCTCCCTGCCACCCACCTTTGCGGGCACGCTCACCGAGCTGGAGGACTCCTTCACCGAGCAGGTGCAATCCCTGGCCAAGTCCATCGACGACGCCCTCAGCACCTGGAGCCTCAAGACCATGTGCTCCCTGCAGGAGAGCGGCGCTTACCAGATCCACCGGGCCCTGCGCGCGGGCGCAGGACCGCTGGGCCTGGAGAGCGAGGCGCGGGAGCCCGAGGGCGCCTCCCTTGGGGCCGGGGCCGAGCCTGCTGAGCCCCCCAGTCCGCCCCAGGGCCATGGCAGCACCCTCATGATGGCCTTCCGGGACGTCACAGTGCAGATCGCCAGCCAGAACATCTCTGTCTCCTCCTCCACGGCCCTGTCGGTGGCCAACTGCCTGGGCGCGCAGACGGCACCGGCCCCCACAGACTCCGCGGTGGTTGAGGCCGAGGAGGGCGAGGCCAGGGCACAGGAGGCCCCGGAGGGCCCCGAGGCCCCCAGTGCCGGCCAGGGGGCCGTGCCCGCTGAGGACCCGAGCGCGGAGGTGGAGGCCGGCGGGGCCCTGCGCGCCAGCTCGCCCGTGGCCGCGGGGCCAGTGGTGGAGGAGGAAGAAGAGGAGGAGACCGAGGAGGCGGCGAAAAGGACCGAGGCCGAGCTGGAGGCCGGGGACAACTCGGAGCAGCTGAGCAGCTGCAGCACGTCCACCAAATCAGCCAAGTCGGGGTCCGAAGCGTCAGCCTCGGCCTCCAAGGAGGCCCTGCAGGCCATGATCCTGAGTTTGCCACGCTACCACTGCGAGAACCCGGCGAGCTGCAAGTCACCCACGCTGTCCACCGACACCCTGCGCAAGCGGCTGTACCGCATCGGCCTCAACCTCTTCAACATGTAAGTCGGGGTGGAGGATGGGGGGAAAGGGGCACCTGCGCTTACCATGAGCGAGGTTCCTGGGAATGGTCCGCATAGACCCAGGGGCCTCCCCTGGGGGACTGGGGGTCTGGGGGCCACACCTGCTCCTTGAGATACTGGGTGGGGGGGCACACATTTTATTTTTAATTGGTATGAATTTACTTCAAGGACGAGGGCTAAAACACCTCAAACCTATGCTTTGACCACTAGTACTGCTGGGAAGAAGCAAGGCTTTGAAAAGTGAGAGAATTTACAAGAAAATGCAGTATTAAGTAAATATATAAGGATGGAACAGAAATCACTCAGGTGGGACATGAAGTTGGGAAAATGGGGAACATCAGCCCCATGGGGTTGATGATGGGAGAAGAGAGACAGTGATGAAAGGAGGAAACGTCAGGGGAGCAGAGACCTAGTGCAAGGAACAGGAGAGGGGTCGGGGGGGGGGCAGGAGGGGAGTGTGATGCAAGTGGAAGTGGAACAGAAGAGAGCAGGGGTGTGGACATACAGATATGAACGACCGCTATAGCTCAGAGCCCCCAGCCAGACTTTCCTTGCTACCAAGAGGTATACAGCTGGTGGCAAGCAGAGGAAACACACACACCCGTCCTAGGGAGATTTCAAGTACACCTACTCATCTCCACCCTCCACTCACCCCTTCCTTCATAGACCTGAACTGGAAAACACAGCATCTCTCCCACTAATCAGTGAGGACTAGGCAGAAACCATTCACCTGTGTGTTTGTTTACTCATTCCGCAATGATTTTTGGAGTGCTTAGTCTGGAAACCACATAGATGAGCAACACACATCCTCTGGCCTCAAGCTTATATTCAATAGCCTGCCTGAGATAAAACATTGCAAACTTCATATTTTTAGAGAGAGCATTATTATGCCATTTTATAGAACAGGAATCAGGCTCACACAGTGAGGTGAGCTGAGTGCTGTGAAGCAGCTAGTCAGCAGCATAAGTGGGTGAAGTCATATTTGCCTGACCCCCAGCCCAGTGCTCTTTCTTCTATATCAGGCAGCCACTGGGATGAGTGTAACCTCAGCCCTGCCTCCCCAGGCCCACACAGATGCCTGGCCCCGCAAGGCAGTGCTTCTCAAATGATGTGTACTGAAGGATCAGCTTGGGTTTTTACTCAGTATGTCGTGGGCTGATACTTTTGTAAAATTCAATAAACGTGAGTTGCTAGAAAAACAGTCACATGCTTGGTTGTCCTGAAAATGTCAGCCTGCTATAAATGGGTCTAAAGGCTTACCCTCTATTTCTATCCTTATCTTCTCCTGGACCAGTAAGACTCAGCTCAGGGAGCAGCGGGAATTTGCAGACCAGGCTGGGAGCACATTTACCTTAAATCACAGCACCCACACCCACATCCACACCCACACACAGAGACTCCAGCCTGGGAAAGTAATCCCTGGGGAGCAGGGTCTTCCTTGTGTCTACAATGCGCAGGGAAGAAGGATGTGGTAGGAGATCCCACCTCCATTTCCCAATTCACCCTCTTCCCGGTTCCAACATGGATCCTGAGTAGAGAGAGCAGGATACAGGTGGGAGGAGGGCTTGGGGGCCTGAAGATCAGATCCAGTGGGACGGATGCTTGAAGACAGAAAGGACGCCCCTCCGCCTGCTCTGGAGCCCGCTTTGGCCAGCCCTCCCCAACCCCGCACCACCCTCACTCCTGGGCAGGGAGGTTCAGAAGCATGTGCGGAGAGAGCCTTCGGAAAGGGAGGCCCTCTGCAGCAGAAGGAATAGTGGCATTTCTTGGGAATTCTACCCAGGGACCTCCAGGCACTTCTATGGTTCCCTGGGCTGGAAGAAAAGGAGGAAAGGCATCACAGACCATCTTGCCTCACTCTCTACTTCTTTTCCCCACCCCACCCCAGAAACCCGGACAAGGGCATCCAGTTCTTGATCTCTCGAGGCTTCATCCCCGACACCCCCATTGGAGTGGCCCATTTCCTGCTCCAGCGTAAGGGCCTGAGCCGCCAGATGATCGGCGAGTTCCTGGGTAACAGCAAGAAGCAGTTCAACCGCGATGTGCTTGAGTGAGTGGCTGCCTCTGGGTTCTGCCCCACCCTCCTAGCCCACCCTACACTCTAGGATCTCCTGGGTGGCCTGGGACCTCAGCTAGGGAAGGACACGGGGCAAGACAGGACTTCTGAAGTCTGGGTAGATTCCCAGAAGTCCTGGCTCCAGTCCTAGGGGCTTCCTGTTTGGTCAAAGGAGCCAGCATCCCCATGATCCTTAGCCAATCACCTGCTTCTTCTCCTGTTATCCTGCAGCTTACTAAGCCAGGGTGCTCCTCCTACAGGCACTGGGGATGAGGATGAGGCTGGGGGTGGGGCTAGCACAGAAATGGTCCAGGGAGACCAAAAGGCAAGAGAGTGAAACTGGAAGAGGGCTGTGTCAGTGCTGGGGCCATCACCACCTGGGGGACTGACCCCTCAGCATCACCTGCGGCCTGTCCAGTCCCCCAGCCTCTGGGCATCCGCTTCATATCGTGGAGGAACCATGAGGCAGGAAAGGAAGGGGTTAGTGTTTTTAGAGCCAGAAAGTATGTTCATTGTTGTGTAGTCGCTAAGTCATGTCCAACTCTTTTGAGAGCCCATGGACTGTAGCCTGCCAGCCTCCTCTGTTCATGGGATTTTCCAGGCAAGAATACTGGAGTGGGTTGCCATTCTCTTCTCCAGAGGATCGTCTCAACCCAGGGATTGAACCCACGTCTTCTGCTTGGCAGGCAGATTCTTTACCACCAAGCCACCAGAAACTATGATTGTGTAAAGATAGACTGACCACCAAGATCACACAATCAAAAAATTGTTTTAAAGTCCAATAGATGAGGTATTTGGTGGGGGGATTGAGGGGGCTACCTTGGTTCAACTTCATGGATGTGATGCTGTGTGTAGGTAGGTGAGCCACACAGCAGGGGCAGATTCCCTGGGGCTCAGGAGCAGGACCTTGGAGCCACCTCGCCTCTCCAAAGAGGGGGTGAGGCCCTGTGAAGTCTGCCCCGGACCCCTGCCTCCCCTTCTGACTCCATCATTCCCTGGCTTGGGAAGATCCCCTGGAGAAGGGAAAGGCTACCCACTCCAGTATTCTGGCCTGGAGAATTCCATGGACTGTATGTGTAGTCCATGGGGTTGCAAAGAGTCGGACACGACTGAGCAACTTTCACTTCACTTCATTTCATGTGAACTCTTAGTTGCAGCATATGAAATCTAGTTCCCTGACCAGGGATGGAACCTTGGCTGTCTGCACTGGGGGCTCCGAGTCTTAGCCACTGGAGCCCCAGGGAAGTCCCAACCTGGCTTCTGTTTGTGGAGCAGCCTTAGTGCTGTGTCTTGGGACAGGCCATGGCCGGAGGGCCATGCTTCCATACCTAGAGGGTGGAGGGGTTGGGCTATGAGGGGAGGTCAGCTGTTCTTAGGAGTCCCTGTTACCTAAATCCATGATGGGGTAGTTGTCACCTGAATGCAGTCAGAAGAGAGGGAGGTGGGACCCATCCGAGGGACCTTGAGATCCCTGATGGCCTTCTCCTTTCTCTGACTTGGTGGCTTTGGACAGTTGGCTGTCCCTCCTGGTGCCCAGACCCACAAATGCACATGCTTCCCTTCCCCCTCCAGGGACGCTTTGAGGAACTGCGCAAGAGGAGAAAGCCAATTTCCTGTCTCTTTCCTCTCCTACTTTTCTTCTGGTTCATCTCTCTGGCCTTTTCATTTACCTTTGTCCCCTTTCCACCAATGAGCGAGTGGAGCTGCTGCATCTGATGGCTTCTTTCTTTCCAGCTGCCCCACGACCCGGGGGCGACCTGGCTTTGTCCCTCTTCTCTGGGGCAGCGGTGGCAGCTTCACTTCCAGGCCCTGACTGCTTTGTCTGTTCTCTCCCACCTTTCCAGGTCTCGTGTGGTCTGGCCCTGGAATTCTAACCTGCTTCCCATCCCCCTATCCCCCCGCTCCCAGCTCCCCCCCACCCCCGGCCTGCACTTCAGGGAACACATGGTTTTTCTCCAGCCCAGGTTGTGCTGAGCAGCACATCGAAAACTTAATTGCCCATCCTCCCCGGGAGACTGAGTGTGTGGGCTGGAGACTCAGACCGGCTGCTGTGAGGGAGGGCAGAGGGCTGGGGGCTGGGCTGGCGGCTGGACGCGCTCATGCTTGGATAAGGGGGCAGTGGGGAGAGGGGAGAGTGGCTGGGACCCGAGAGGCCAGCTCTGACTCCTGCTCTGCTCCTAACAGGCTCTGGAGCTTTTGCATGTCACTTCTGCTCCAGGCCTCAGCTTCCTCACCTGCAGAGAAGCTGGGCTGGGCTGTGTGAGCTTGGTCCCTCCAGCACCAGGGGTGAATCTGTCTTTTTCCCCAATCCTTAGTGCGTTTGTAACATCTTGGCATCATGCAAAATCTTCTGCCCTAAAGCGTGCTTTGTCACCATGCCAGAGCCACCCAGAGCGGCACTCAGGAGAACAGGATGGCCATTCACCACTCATTCACCAAATATTGAGCGCCTACTGTATGTAGGGAACCAGGGCTGAGCTGGGTATCCCATGTGTATACATGTGTGTGTGTATATAGAAAGGGGAAGGAACAGGCATGGCTTCAGGAAAGATACAGACCTAGGTGTCAACGGGGAGAGATGAGAGGAGGAATGTGGAAAGAGAAGAGAGGGGCCCAGGAGCCTCCAGCGGGCACTGTGGGCTTGGGGAGGGTGGAGGGCAGAGCCGAGCCCGGATTCTGCCCCAGTGAATGCCCCCCACCCCGCGTGCTTTGCTCTGCAACCACACAGGCCCTGGGCTCCAAGGCCCTGGCACACCCAGCCTGCACGTGGCAGCTCCTCCCCCAAGTCTGCATCACCCGGATGCCTGGTTTGTCTCCTGCAAGGTGCCCGGAGAAGACGGAGAGGCAGGAAGAGGCAGGCACTGGTGGGCTGCCAGGCCCTGGGAGTTCTGGCATCTCCCTGCGGCTCAGGCCAGCATCCCCTGCCCTTTCCTTCCCCCCATCAGAGGAAACACGCCAGTGAGGAGATTCCGCAGCGTGCCCTGCCCCCACCAGTGACATTCAGCCCGTCGCATACATCCGTACAAAGCTGTTTGCTGAATAAAAGACATAAATCACCCCTCCCCTTGGAGACTGAGACAGCCCAAACCGCCACACTCTCCAAGATACAGCCAGACAGGAAGGGGAGAGGTGGGGAAAGGTCTCTCGGAGGGAGAGGGCCTGGGAGGAGGGCGGACAGGGTGAGCGGAAGGGCCCCGCACCAGACGGAATCTGCCCCTGACGCTGATCTGCGTTTGAGCATCACAGAGGTGGTGATATTTGCCTCCAGAATCAGGCCCTTGGTGCTGTTAAAAGCTGACCTCTCTTTTCATCCCTTTCTGTGCTAGTCCATGAAAGCCCCATTCCAAGAAGGAATGTGTCCAACCAGGCTTTACTGAATAATAATAGAAGGCATTCTGAGCTCAAAGGGCCATGTCCATTCCCATGTTTACCTGGGAAGATTTTGAGTTTTGGCTCTCTCATTTTTTTTTTTTTTAGGAGAAACCAGCCTCAAGTTTGTCATTTGTCAAATGGGGATAATAGAACCAGTCATATGAATTAAATTTTAAAATGGATATGAAGTGCTTAACTCGGTGCCTGATGCTTAGTAAATTCTTTTAAAATGTCAGCTTTTTCTGTTACTGTATTTTCTATTTAAAACCACAGGGCATAAAAAGAAGCCCAGGGCATTGGACCCCCTCACCCCCGACTCCCCCACGGCCCCTCCCCTAACACAGGGAAACCTCAGACTCCTCAGGGCAGATCTCAGTCCACTGCTGGGGAAGGGAGCGGCTGCCCGAGCCTGGAGGAAGCCCCTCTCTGGTGCTGAGAAGGAAGGTCAGTGGGAGCCAGAGGGCCAGAGGGCCGTGGGGGTCGGAATTCTTGGGGGGGCTGAAAGCGCTTCCCTCTCCGTTTTCACATGGCTGGGAAATTTGGCTCTGCTCTATTTCCTTCTTGAAGTGTTCGCTTCAGCAGGTTTGAAGGCCAGTGGATGGGGGGCTGTTGCGAGCGGGTTCTCAGCAGCCTCCCTCCTGGCCCGCGTGATTGCCGCGCACGTGGACAGCATCTGTCCTTCCCACGGAGATGCAGGGAGGGCGGTTTTCTCACCCCCGACTCCCCCACGGCCCCTCCCCTAACACAGGGAAACCTCAGACTCCTCAGGGCAGATCTCAGTCCACTGCTGGGGAAGGGAGCGGCTGCCCGAGCCTGGAGGAAGCCCCTCTCTGGTGCTGAGAAGGAAGGTCAGTGGGAGCCAGAGGGCTGGAGGGCCGTGGGGGTCGGAATTCTTGGGGGGGCTGAAAGCGCTTCCCTCTCCGTTTTCACATGGCTGGGAAATTTGGCTCTGCTCTATTTCCTTCTTGAAGTGTTCGCTTCAGCAGGTTTGAAGGCCAGTGGATGGGGGGCTGTTGCGAGCGGGTTCTCAGCAGCCTCCCTCCTGGCCCGCGTGATTGCCGCGCACGTGGACAGCATCTGTCCTTCCCACGGAGATGCAGGGAGGGCGGTTTTGGGGGTTGAGCAGTCCTGGGGGGCAGGGTGGGAGAGAAGGTTTCCCTGGGGGATTCCTTCTTGCACTGCGTCTGCTCCATCCTCTGTTAGATACTGAAGTAGGACGTTTCAGTCAAATTTCATTATTTCATTTCCCTGGAAATGTGTCGGCCAGCGTGTAACAGATTTGTTCTTCGGGGACACTCAGAAATGAAGACAGATTGTCTGTCAAACTCAACAGGCTGGAGTGCGCTGGCCTCTCTTCGCTGGGAAGCGTCGACTCCAGAAGGTCCTGCACGTTGTCTACGTACAGCTTCTGATGGGTTGTCTTGCTCCCGAGGAGATCCACGGGCGAGGGGAGAGCAGGCCAGCACCCATGCCCACCCTGGTGGGTCTGGAGGGGGATGGAGAGAGACCAGGGACAGACATGGATAGGAGGCTTTGCACAACTCTGAAAACTTGATGCTGCCCCCACTCAGAGGGATGGAAGGAGAAGGTCTCTTCTAACAGGGGTGTCTTGGGGTTTTATG